AGAGAGATTTGTCTGATTTTTGAGGATGATTTATTTTTTTTTTTTTTTTGATTAAGTAAGTATTTATGGAAAATTTAGTGAAAGTTTTTATTCTGTTTGATTGAAAAAAATAAGGAAACATCTATGAAATATGGATAATTTTGAATATTGGATTCTTTTGAACGATCGACCCCTCTCTCTCTCTCTCTCTCTCTCTTATAATTTTATGAATCTATGAAATGTTTATATGGTCGAAACTTATGAAAAATGGATTACTAAAATTGTTAAAATGTGTTAACGGATGCGTTAGATGCATTGTGTTGAGAGAATTTGTATTGTGAGAAAAGTTTATCAATTTAATTTTCAACGGAAGTTATTTGAACTTAACATTGACATAGCATAGAAAATGGCAATGGTTTAAAACTGATTGAAATTATTAATGCTTTTTTTAGAGTCATTTATTTTTTTTTTTTTTTTTTTTATTCGAGCCACAAGTCTCGTCAATTTTTCGATATATATCGATATAATAATGGCTCGACACGTGACTCCAGCAAAGAAAAATGACGAATAAATTACCTACTTATTAGTAAATCGGTTTCTCCATCATATACAGATATATTTCATTCTAAACTACCATTCCAACTCATATTTTATATATATATATATATCTATATCATTTACTTTTCAGTAATCAACTCTAGTTAGGAGGATAATTCGCAAGCTTTTCTATCGTTGTTAATTGTATACCTAAGTTTGGTTAAGTGTCCCGTAATTGGCCACGATAACAATGACGTCAATGTCTCTTGTCTTCTTTCCTTTTCCCCCCCAAGCGAGTTTATTGCAGATATATTCTTAGAAAAACAGGAACCGAATAGTTCTATGCCGGCGATATGCACGGCTAATGCCGGTCATTGGTTATATTTGGCATATCTAGAGTTGGAAATGTGTGACTCACCGGCTCGTATCTGTAGCTGTGTGGTAAGGTACGCACCTAACGATTCGCATGCTCCTGTTAAAAGTAATGAAAAAAATACGGAGAAATACTCGATTCCCTGTTCCTCTGGACAATGTTTAATAATAATTTACGATTAAAAAAAAAAAAAAAAAGAAAAGAAAAAAAGATGACACGTTTGTTCAATTTTCCAATTTAGAATTAAAAATTTTATTAATACCCTGAGAAATCTTCGTGTTTCGAGAGTTCAAGAATTTCTTTCTTACCCTACTTCTTCTATTACATAAACTCTGTCCCTCGATAGACATATATTCAAAAACAAATAACAGGGGGATCAATTCCAATAGCCGAAGCAAACATAAAAATTACTATATATAGACAAGATTCTATCTTCGTCGCACGTTCATCTATATGTATACACCCATAAATTATAATTCGCATAAATTTCAATAAATTGAAAGGAATAATATATTTCATCGCTCCGTCGATAAGAATGGAACCGCGGCCAACAAAAATGAAAACGAAAAAAAAAAAAAAAACCTAGCCCCTAGTTTAAAAACTACCCTGGAAAAAATTTCATGCTTAAGCGACGATTATTTATAACACTATTGAAAATTAAAAAAATCATTGGAAAGAAAGGAAAGATCGCTCCCTCCCCCCTTCGGAATCGACGATGATTCCGAATAAAATGGTGTTTCCTCCCGTAAGCGTAATTCGAGGTGCACGATAGATAGAGCCGTCTCGCTCCCCCCTTAGCCGCTTTCTCGTTTTCCTCTCTCTGTCTCGGCGGATAATCGTTAAAGCAGGTGTCCCCGACGAGCGTGGGAGAGAGGTGAGCGCCACCCAGCGCAAACTCCCAACCCATTACTATAACGAAGCGTCGCCATGGAGACCCTTGGAGAAACACACGTGGGGTTGTGCAGAGAGAGAGAGCTCCCGTTCTTTTTTTTTTTTCTTCTTCTTTCTCTCCCCCTTTCCTTCTCGCACCCTTTCGCCTCTTTCTCCCGGCTTCTCTCGCCCGGTTTTCCCTCCGAGTTTTTCAGAGTGTTCTCTCTCTCTCTCTCTCTCTCTCCCTCTCCCTCTCCTCCTCTCTCTCCCTCGCCCCCATTCGACCACCACGCGGCCGGAATATCTCCACGTTTGTGAATTAAAGCACCGAATGAGGCAGCCAACGGGTTACCACGGGTAACGGGCCGGTTGCCATCGCGATACCGGGGCCACAACATAAAATCGCCACTTTGACGATTTGTTTCGGGCCATTGATGCCACATCGGAATCAATTTCACCCTTCTCGACACTCTCCCCCCTCCCTCCTTCCCTCCCTCTTTCTTTCCTCCCTGCGATTAGTATCGTTGGCGATGATTGGCGATCGTTGGCGATGGTTGGCGATCGTTGCCTCGTTCGACTATTTAGATCGGATGGATCGATGGATTTTAATTATTTAATTTATATTTCTATCCGATATTTTGATTCCTTTATATTTGATTAATCTTATGGATTGTCGTTGGTGGTGGGTTTGATTTTACACCCTTGGAATATATTTTTGGTAGTAAGAGTATATATGGAGTAAAAATTGGAGGATAATATTATCTAAGATTCGAGGAGGATTAACAAATCCACGGTTTGTGGAAGGTTGGCCTCCTTCTCGCATGGAAATGACTTTCTTAGACCGAGCTTGGTTGGTAATTCGGTTTAATGGTACCCTCGATGACGCGTTTGTTCGCCGGTACGATGGCTTTTCTCTGTCGGTTGTTGGAATAGGGGTAGTCTTGCGATTCTTCTTCGTTCTTGTTTTTTTTTTTTTTAGGTCACTGAACTTCGATGCTGATGAAACGAATTAAAATCTATTTCTATAGCATCACAAATAAGTGAATTTCTTTCTTCAAACACAATATTTATTGTATCCCTGATTTTTGTTCTTACTTTTTTACAAGCTGATTTCTCCTTCTTTTCAATCTTCTTGTGTCACCTTTGCTTATTCTTTGGAGTATTTTTTTCCCCTCTATTCCAATTAGAAAAGAAAAAAATCACATTTTCCAATCTCAAGTCAATTTTTTTCCATTTCGTCGACCATTTGGTTGGCCGTTCGTGCAACGAACGCATAAACGCTGCGTCGCACGGGTATTTAGGCGTATACGTGTGCATTTAGGTATAACGTTGTTCAAGTTCAAGCTCACACACGCCGCACGCCTCCGTGAACGAACGGTTCCATTTGCTCGATAAAGTCGAAAACTCCCCCGCGACTGTGTGGCCAACTTTCTTTCGCGGTGTTTCCTTACGACACGCGTGGCCGGGAAAATTGAAATTAATTGAAATTAATGGGAACGCGAGTTACCTGAGCGGCGATCGATATTTTCAACGTGTGAGGAGTATTTCCAGACAAGTTGGATGTTATTTTTTTTTTTTTTCTTAAGGGAAGATTATACAGATTAAAAAATTAAATTACTTAAATTCTGTCATTGTGTTATTCTCTTCTTAAAAGAATATAAGAAATGATATAATAATAATGTAATTTTTCTTCTTAAATGGAATGTATTTTTTTCAATGATTTTTTAAAAAAGAAAGTATTTATGAGTCTAAAGTTGTAAAAGAGTTAAAAGAAGTAAATAAGTTTTACAATTCAAAAATTTCCCCATCCAATCAATCTTCAATCATTTTTCACTTATAAAAAAATTTTATCAATCGCAAATTTTATTCTCTCTCAAAGTGTAACAACTCTAAAAAATTACCTAACTCGAAACATTAAAAAAATCTCGAAAATATTGTAAATTTATATTTCGAAAAGAACGAAATTAAATAATGTAATAATAATATAATTTTTTTTCTTATATGAAATATATTTTTACAATGGTTCTTAAAAAAGAAAATATCCATGAGTCCATATATCCATATTGTAATTGAGTTTAGTTAAAAAACGTAAATAACTCGTTTTATATATTTACAATTCAAAAATTTCTCCATCTTTCGACCATCTTTCACTTACAAAACAAATCTTATTAACCGCAAATTTTATTCTCTCTCAAAATGTAACAACTCTAAAAAACTAAAAAACTAAATAACCAATATCGAAACATTGAAAAACGTTGAAAATATTCTATATTTATTTATCGAAAAGATAAAATTGCATTATAATATAATAGGAAAGAGAGGGAGGGATAATAAAAGAAAAGAAAAAAAACTCGATGATAAAAATGATAAAAATAATGAAATTTATCGCGCACGATAGACGAATTAGAGCGGTGGAAACGAAAAATCGGGGAAGAGCGACGCGTCGTGCCGCGTCGTTTCGAATCGAAACGGGCGCGCAAGCGAGCAGCCATATTTACATAACAATCGGGGATCACGTAACGACATTCGCGCGACGCGCTTCTCGGTTTCGTGTGTGCCTTTATTCGTCGACTTGTGCGCGACGTGGAAAGTCGTGTAAAGCGGCTTCTGTTGCGCGATTGCTCCGTGTTTGCGGAACGATCGAAAGCGTGGCCACGCCGGAACTTCCGTCAAACGATCTACCGCGGATTAATTTAACCAACGAGACCGTGATTACGACGAATTTTTAATATCATCGCGAATCGAATTTTTTACGATGTTTAAATCGAAGCTCGAATCTAAATCTGTATATCTGTATACGTAGTATAAATTTTAATATTTCTTTCTTCTTCGAATGAATCGAGTTTACAGGAAAGTTTTCGTAATTTAGATGTAATATAAAAATTTAAGGAACGTATTATCATTTTAAATAAGAGTAAAGTTTGAGGAAAATATTGATATGTAAATTCGAATTTAAAGAAAAAGATCGAGATCTAAGATAGAATTAAGTAAAGTAAATTTGTTTAAGATTTCGCTTTTCGAAAGTATTGATTATATATTTATATGATATTTATATTTATATATTAATATATAAATATATTAATATATTATAATATATATAATTATATTATAATAATATAATATATTAATATATATTTTATT